AGGGAAAGGGAACAGACAAGTTGCTATCCTTTTGTTCTTCAGTCTAGTTGTGGAGGACGTTGCTTCACTGGCCCAAGTTGGCACCATCATTGCGCCCTTCCCGGGCGAGGCAGATCAGTCGCCGGCTTCTGGATGGCCGCTCACTGTAGCTGCTGGTCGCTCACGCTGGTTGATGGCTACACACAGTAGCCCATGGCAACCCACTGCAGCAGGGGCTACAGCCTACGCCGTCCTGGCGACTCACGGCAGCCCAGCTCCAGGGTGAGCTGTTGTTCAGCATCTTAGCTGTAGAGGGCAGTGTCACTGGCCCTCATATGTAGGATCCAAACCGGCCCTCTCCGGCGTCCCAAGCCAGCTCTTAACCAATGCGCCACTCGGTCGGCCCCTGGTCCCTTTTTATCTCTTCACTCTTACCATAGGTGATTTTTTTTCCACCAATAATTTTAAATGTTTCCTCTATGCTGATGACTCAAATTTCTATCTCTAGTCAAGAACTCTGTTCTTACTTCCAGACTTCCATATCCAAATACCTGCTTAACAATTTTTTTTTTTAAGATTTTATTGCGGAATTAGAGGAGGGGAACAGAGTTGGGGAATCGGGGAAGGGGAACAGACAAGTTGCTGTCCTTTTGTTCTTCAGTCTAGTTGTGGAGGACATCACTTCACTGGTCCATGTTAGTATTATCATTGCGCTCTTCCCAGGTGAGGCAGATCGGTGACCGGCCACTGGACGGCCGCTCATGACAGCTCTTGGCAGCTCACGCTGGCTGCCAGCCACTCACGGTAGCTTATGGCAGCCCACTGCAGCTTTATTGCAGCCTACGCTGCCGCCGGCGACTCATGGCAGCCCAACTCCAGGTCGAGCTGTTGTTCACCATCTTAGCTGTAGAGGGCGCAGCATCACTGGCCCTAATATAGGATCTGAACCCGGGCCCTACTGCTCAGAGCTGGCATCCCAAGCCAACTCTTAACCAACGCACCACTCGGCCAGCCCCTGCTTAACAATTTTTGAGGATCGACTAGGTGACATGGCAGTGAATAAGAGAGTAGAAGAGAGAGACAAATAAATATACTCTATACTTATATGTAGTGATAAGTGTTTTAAGTAAAAAACAAAGAAGGATAAAAAGATCGAAAAAATATTGGAGTTGGAAACCTTGTCAGAAAAGGTCTTTCTAATGAGGTGACATATATGGAGAAATGAGACTGAAATGAGGGAGAAAATCATGTGTTGCCTATGGGAAGAGTGTTCCCGGCTGAAGGAACAACAAATGCAAAGGCCCTCTTGAGAATAGTAAGGCCAATCATGGTCACATTTAGTGTGGTACCATTTTTAGAAAGCTCAAAAAAGAATTGAAGCAACACCATAAACCAACTAGATATAACAGACATCGATAGATAGAACACTGTACCTAACAGCAGAATATACATTCTTCTCGAATATACCAGGCGTGTCAAAAAAATGTACACACATGACTTGTATTCATCTTTTGTTATCAGTACATATTGAGTATTACAATTTTAATACAGTTTTTTCCTTTCTTAAAACATGTATACATTTTTTGGCATTCTCTGTACATTCTTCTCTAGGATAGACCATATGCTAGGTCATGAAACAAGCCTCAATAAATTTTAAAGTATTGAAATCATACAAAGTATGTTCTCCGACCACAATGGAATAGTTAGAAATTAATAACAGGGGAATAAATCTGGAAAATTCACAAACATGTGGAAATTAAACAACACACTCCTAAACAATCAGTGGGTCAAAAAAGACCACAATGGAAATTTAAAAAATACTTTGAGATGAATGAAAGTGAAGACACAACATACCAAAACATATGGTATGCAACTAAAGCAGTGTTTAGATGAAAATTTATAGCTGTAGATGTCTTTAATAAAAAAGAAAATCTCAAGTCAATGACCTAATCTTACACCAAAGGAGAAACTAAATCCAAAACAAACTAGAGAAAATAAGAAAAATTAGAGCCAAACTTAAGTAGAAAATAGAAAAACAACAGAGAAAAACAACAGAACATAAAGTTGGTGCTTTGAAAAGATCAACAATATTGATAAACCTTTGGCTAGACTGAATTAAGAAAAGAAGAGAGAAGACTCAAATTACTGAAATCAGGAATGAAAGAGAGGACATTACCACCAACCTTACAGAAATAAAAAAAGATCATAAGGGAATACTACAAACAACTATATGCCAATGAATAAGAAAACTCAGATTAAATGGGAGACTCCTAAAAAGATAAAAACTACTGAAACTGACTCAAGGAAAAACAGAAAATCTGACTAAACCTACAAAAAGTAAAGAGATTGAATTAGTAATTTTAAAACATCCCATAAAGAAAGGCCCAGGTCCAGATGGCTTCACTGGTGAATTCTGCTTAACATTTAAAAAAGAAATAAAAACCAATTCTACACAAACTCTTCCAGGAAATTTAAAAAGAAAGAATTCTTTCCAAATAATGACATCATTGCACTGATACCAATACCAAAGATATTACAAGGAAAACAAAACACTAAAGATCAGAATCTCTCATGAACACAGATACAAAAATTCTCTACAAAACTTTAGCAAATCAAATCCAACAATATATAAAAACGATAATATACCACAACCAAGTAAGGTTATCACAGAATGCAAGGTTGTTTGAACATTCGAAAATCAATGTAATTCACCATATTAACAGGTTAAAAAAAGAAAACTCATATGATTGTCTTAAGAGATACAGATAAAGTAATTGACAGAAATCTAGTATCTGTTTCTGCTAAAATGTCAAAGCAAACTAGAAATAGAAGGGGACTTCCTCAATCTGATAAGGGGCATCTCAAGAATAGGTTTATAGCTAACATCAGACTCAATGGAGAAAAACTGGATACTTTTCCTGTAAGATTGGGTACAAGGCAAGGGGTTCTCAATAACTTTCAGATTGTAAAGGAGTCCTGATACCAAAAAATTTGAGAACCATTAGTTATAGAGAAAAAAGAAAACTGATAATACAGGAGAGAGAAAAAATACGACAGGGACAGACGAGAGGAGATGCTTCCATCTCAGTTTTTGCAAAGCGTTTACAATGGCTTACAAGGCCCTACATGATCTGTCCTCCTGTTACCTACTCTCTGCCTTCATCTCCCCTCTGCACTTGCTCACTTTGCTCCAGCCATACTGGCCTTCTTGCCGTTCCATAACATGCCAAGCATACGCCTAACTCAGGAGCATTGCATTTGCTTTTCCTTCTGTCTGGAATAACTCATTCCTCCTGATAACTATTTGTTTGGCTCCCCTGCTGCTTCAGATGTTTGCTCAAATGTCACTCCCAGAGAGCCTTTCTCTAATCTATG